TTAACCCACAGTGGGACTAGAAACCCACAGTGGGACCAGAAACCCACATGGTTATATCACATAAATAAACGCGATAGTAATATACATAGAGTCCGTAAAGTCATGGCACACTTTTGACCGGTCACAGGAAATCAACAAAACAAGACAGAAATGTGAAATCTGCACCAAATGAAAGGAAAACTCTACAGTTTTCACAGTATGATGTGCAAGCTTTATGGGTACGAAGCTTGGAGAGTGTTGTTTTTTGTTTTTTTTTCATTTAGTGAAGATTTTGCTATTTCTATCTTATCTTCTTTTGTTGCTTTCCTGTGACCGGTCAAAACCATGACCTTACGGGCACACGGTACATATGCACAACTTGTTTATAAAAGAAGCTAGGATCCGTCCGTCCGCCCATTATTATTTTCCTGTCTGAGTATATAATTAAAAAAAGGTAGTTGCGTATCCTTTACAGGACGTTGCAGAACCAACTCCATCATTTTCGTTTTGTTGCTCTTGCGGTTTCTCTAGGCACATGTTACGTTCAGTAGTTTTCCATTGCTCATCGAATGGTCAGCTGTTGATACCATTGATGAAACAGCACAAGACGGGTTGTCTGCAGCTGGAATCGAACCCCGCACTCCGGCATTACAAAGCTCAGTATATTATTAGTGGAAAGTTATAAAACCGAACAAAAAGTAGATTAGCGAGCTTCACAATATAGCAAACACAAACAAAGCGTGAACACTGTAGCTAAAAGGCACCTTTATCAGCACGTAACTAAATCAAACAAAACCAAACACACACCCAAAATCACTTAACGGAGTAACCAGAAGCAGCCACGTTAATGTCTTGCCAGTGGAATGAGGGGGAAAAAAAACGTGAGGCTTGAGAAAGAAATAGCCGTGGAATGCAAGGGGTCGTAACTTCAATGTTTAAGATAAAACTGTCTTGACAGTTTAATCTCTTGGACATAAGCGTGCCCAAAGTGAAAATAAGGCGATTTTTAACAGACTTGCGGACTCTGTCAATGGAGTGGCTAGATTTAATGGATGTCACCTCTATGTCGTGGAATCTTTGGTGATCACAGGAATTGAAGTGCAACGGTACTGGTTTCAGGGTACCGTTCTGAACATACTAAAGATGTTATCTGAACTTGTTAGCCAGTCGCAGACTCGTTTCCCCGAAATATTTCATGTATTTCTTGTGCAGCTGATCACGTAAATGACATTGCGGCCCGTGTAATAAAATACTTCACTTATGAGGAAGGTAGTATTCAGGAATTTCAGACGTCTCCTGAACCACACATGCTCAAGTCCTGCATACAGGTTTGTGGCAAAAGATCGTGCCAAAGTGGGACTAAGACGCACGACGTAACCGACTCTTGACTAGAATGTCCTTACAATCATGTCTGTAGGCCACTAGAGAAGTTCAGAGAAAACCGTGCTGGTGCCAGGGTCAGCCCTAAGGATGGAGAGATGCCTCAGAAGAATATCTTTGGCAAGGATGTAATCAACGTGGTAGGTAAGTATGAGGACAGGTCTGTTGTTGGTAACGTTTAGACTTGGAAACGAGAGCCTCAGCACTATGGATAGACCGTGCTCGGTGAAAGCCAATAGATAAGACATGCCCAGGATACCCTCGAAGCGGAGGAAGTCAAGCCTTTCTAGCAGCTTGTGGTGAAAGTCGTCGTTCTCCTGGCACAGTCTGCGGAGGCGTAGAAACGTAAGAAAAAAAAATGAATAGAGTCCACTATATTATTAGTTAGAGAACATCATATACATATACCACAAAAGCCAAAGTGCAATACGAACACAAGAAGGCATATCAGATATGTTCACAGTCAACACAGGTGTGAGACAGGGATGTGTGCTCTCCCCACTTTTATTTACAATTCATATAGACATAATATCTAAAGAAGCAAGTTCTGATACAGACAACATAAATCTTTATAGTGAAAAGGCAGTACACACATCAGGAGATGTTATCGATTCACCCACAATAAACGAACTTCTATTTGCTGACGACCAGTGCTTGTTCTACCCTGAAGAAGATAGACTGCAAGACCACATTAACAGGTTAAACTCAGCATGCAGTAAATACAACATGAAAATCAATGCAAACAAAACAGAAACAATGCAAGTTAGTAGAACCCCTGCCCCGCTACACACACAGTTGAATGGTTCTGCTCTGAATCAAGTTAGGCAGTTTAAATATCTAGGAAGTATGATCACAGAAGATAGTAGAACTGATAGAAATATAAACCAGATGTCAGAAAGCAAGTGCACTTATATACGGTCACCATTATTAGGACATCCAAGCATAACTATGAGAGCAAAGAGAGAGATTTTTAACAGCATATTTATTCGAACATTAAGCTACCAGTGCCAAACATGGACACTATCTAAAGCCCATACACGCAAAATCTCGATCTGCGAGATGAGATGCCTGAGAAAAGCAGCCAACCTAACCATTCGAGATCGAGTGAATAATGAATGAAGCTAACAGATGAATTGTGAGAGAGGCATCTTGTACTAGAGTCATCAAGAAACAGTAGATCAAGTGGTCTGACCATCTCGTTAGAATGCAGCAAGATCAAATACCATCACAAGCACTACATCTCAGAAGATCAGCTACAAGAGGACGCCGCGGAAAACATGGATCGACAACATTAAAGACACTCTAATCCTTCACGGCATGACAATAGCCACTGGCAGCCAGCGTGCACTGGATGGGAAATTATTCCTCCCCATGACACTTACAGCAGAAGTTGTTTATGATGGTGATGATGATATTATCAGTGGCTCAAATATCCTGTTACAATGAGATACATGTGAACAATTTCTTAAATGCAGATTAAGCAATCATTCGTGAAATATCTATAAAAGATCAGCGTCTGACACAAACCTAATCAATCAGACAACGAGACGTTTAATTTAAGCAGGCCCGACAACTCAGGTAATTCGATTAACGGACAAAATTATTTCCCTTGAGTTGATTAATTGATTGACGTTCAACCCCCACCAAGACATCACATCGAGGGATAATCACCCGGTGATACAAAGTGCCACTATTCGGATGAGGATCACCCGGGGACAAGTCCCAGAAACCCCGTTGAACCCATAGGTTGGGTTATATTAGGGGTCCCCGGTAACGGCCAGGTTGGGGCTTTGGGAAAAAAAAACCATTGGAACGCTGTTGATTGCTCACTCTCTATTGAGTTCATTACTCGAGTTTCAACAGATCACGATGGCTTTTTTGTTCTTGCGCCTTTCACGATTAGCAGGTATGACAGTAAGAATTTTTTTCTCTCATATCCCAAGTCTGTTTATTATTTCTTAATCTCAGTGTGTGCTTTCATAAAAATTATTTAAGGAGAGGTTCGACAAGTGGTAAAAAACACTGGGCTTCTCTTTCGGGCAGTGTTTTTCAAACCTTTTCAAATGGCGCCCTCTTGAATATTTGACATTACCACCACCCTGTCCTCACCCCCTGTTGAAAATGTAATTATAAAGCGGATGGCAAAAATAATAATACTAGGCATTTTTAACAAGAACATCGAGAAAAACAACAGCCTAAATCTTCTTCTTTTATTTTGTTCTTTTTCGTTATTTTTCGCGTTCACCGACTGGAAACTCCCGCGGAAAGTTCTGGTTGTTCATTCACCTCTGGACTTTGGACTTATTCCAAAACCCAAGTGTTGCATGCACATCTTTTTACAGATCTTACTTAATTGTAAGCAGACCGTTGATTCCTTACCTCTCAGGCAGATTCACTCCGACTTCAAAGATAAACCCCAATTAATTTACTCTTACCACAAGCTTTTTTAGGCAGGCAGTGGGTCGAGGGAAGAGATATGGTTGGGACAATAAGTAGTTACCCGCTGAACTGCAAAGACGGGGACAGTTAAGAGAACACAGGTTTTATTTTTCCCTTGCAGGGACCATGAAATAGTGAACATAACCCAGGCAATGCATATATGTATAATGAGTCACACAACAGTAACATATGACTACAAAGGCAATGCCTAGTCAGATCACGTGCGCGAACTTGAAGTTCTATCTTGAATCAAATAAAGGAATTATTACCATCACATTCAACATATATTTTTTCCCTGAACACAAAACTAACGTGCTTCACAGATAATAATACATTAACAATCAACAATCAAATATTGCTGAGCGATGAAACACATTTAAATCTAGTTTAACTACTGGAGAAATTAATTCTCAAATCGTCTATTGAAAATACCACACCATAAAACCAGTGAGCCGGTCCATCTGTCTCGGTTCACACAGACCATGTACTAAGCACTTCAGCTAACAAAGATGTAAGTCGCTCCCAGCGAACTGAAATCAAATATCTCTGAGCGATGATACACATTAATATCTAGATCTAACACAGTTTAACTTCTTGGGGCAATTTAGATCTACCACCATCTAACTACTGCAAACTTCCAACACCGTGAAATCAGAAATCCACATTCCACATATCTCGGCTCAGTCCGCCGCACTTGCGCTGCGTTAAGACCACGTGCGGTCACGCAATGGCAGGGCGACTGACCAGAGGACGAGCCGAGACAACAGATATTTTCTTAAAGTCTAGGCTTCTTTTAAAAATAAGTTTCGCTCTCCGAGCGTGCCAGTTATATTGGTAAGTGCTGCCAAACCTTAATTATTTACAGGCTTTTTAAATACCCCCCGATGTTTACACATTCTTATTTACCGAGTAGGGATGCCTTATGTGTCGAAAGCGACATGAAGAGAATTTAGATATCATGTAAAGTCTGTGGCGACAGCAGTAGCTATGTTTCCTTAATAAGGCTCAAATGCTCCTTTACCTACACCACAAAAGTGGTTATTGTTTATGGTTTATACAACGGATTAACATCATGGCACAAGAAAAGTAACCGATAAGTGCTCGGTTTTACTTGTAACTTAAGCCTGAGTGCAAGGAATAATAATTCATTATTACTAATTTCATAATTATACAAAATTTGTTTTCTGTCTATTTCTCCACAGAAGCCCGACTTGTGGCGGAAACGTACGACTGCAAATACACGGAAATCTCCGCAGCCTTGAACCACTTTGTCGACGAGCTATTGGTCGGCATTCTGACCCAGATTCGTCTACACATGCGCATACCATTCACCACAATATCATTTCCGGGCAAGGAGTCCAAAAAAGAAGAGCGAAAAGAACGACGGAAAGCCCTCAAAGGACCAAGAGGATTTTTCAGTCGTCTTTTTAAAAGAAGTAGTCGTAAGAAACTCAAACCTTGTGAAAACCTCCACACCCTTTAGAAAATAATGAGTATAGTACCTTATGACCCCTACGGCGAAAAAATGAGACAGGTCCTTAGAAACTCTTTTGCTGAAAGGGATAAAGCTTGTTATGTTATTTAACCTAAGTCATCGCACAGTTGGCATTCCCCTGGTGAAAAGATGCAACAAGGCAGACATTGGGGAAACTGGCAGGAAGCTAGCTGCTCGTTTCCGGGAAGACCACTCCGATATGGAAAAGAAGACACTAAAACCAACCCCTCTCCATTTTAACAGCTCTGACCACAGAGGTACAGATGATATATCTTGTCACAGCATTAAAATCTTGCTCTGACGATCATACCACGCGCCTCGCTTTGGAAAATCGCCTCATCCACAGCCTAGGTGTTCTTAGTCCAGGCGGCATCAATATCTAACATACCTTCATTTAAACAGTTTTACTGTTAACACATTTTCAATTTTAATTTTTAAATTTATTATTTATAATATTACTTTATTGTATCTCTTATTAGTACCATTGATGTATCGTTAACATTTGTATTTCTATTACTCTTTTGCTCCCACTACTAAATTATATATATTAACAATGGTACCTTTTATTTATTGCATCTATTTTTGAGCCTTCGTTTATTTTATTTTATTCACTCCACATCTAATTTTGTTTAAAAGTTGCCCACGTCACCCCTTAGAGATCTGAATACTCTCCGTCTTTATTACCGTTGTTTGGTTCGAGAAAGGCCACAGACCTTTTGTGTTTTGTTGTTTTGTGTTGTTTTGTGCACGTGTTTATGCTTCCCAGTTTCGTTAAGCTTTTCAGTCACTGGAATTCTTAGCATTCTCCTGCATGCTGGGTTCTCCAGTGTAGAAGCCATCATGTAATCTTCTCATTGTTCTTCCAGCCCTTGGTTTTTCAGATAAAAAGGCTACCGCCTGTATGAAATCTATGGTGTGACGAATATCTTTCACCACTCCACAAGGCTTGGTTTTCCATTCTAATGCCAGCTAGCCAAACATGGGATCTCTCTAGTGCACTTATAGAGAGCATGTCTGTAGGTTTTCTCAGTGTGTGTCCTATCCAACGCCAGCGTCTCTTCTTCACCTCTTGATTCACTGGAACTTGTTTACTCCTCTCATTAAGCTCTTCTTCTTCTTCTTCTTCTTCTTCTTCTTCTTCTTCTTCTTCTTCTTCTTCTTCTTCTTCTTCTTCTTCTTCTTCTTCTTCTTCTTCTTCTTCTTCTTCTTCTTCTTTTTCTTCTTTTTCTTTTTCTTCTTCCTCGCTGCTTCGCGTTCACCGGCTGTAAACTCCGGCGGAAAGTTTTGGTTGTTCGTCCACTTCTGGACTGCAGTCCTGTTCCAGAACCTGAGTGTTGCGTGTGCATCCGTTTAACAGATCTGAATAATTTGTATGCAGACAGTTCGGTTCCTTGCCTCTCAGACAGATGCACTCTGACTGATAAAAAAGCTCACAATTAGTCGACTTTTACGGCATGCTTTTGGGTAGGCAATGGGCCTATTCTTGTTTTTCCATATAATAGGACCCAGGAACCCACTAGGGACAATTCTAAAGCTCAACATTAGTGATTCTATCATATCACATATTTCCCTCTGTTCTGCATAGGCACCTGTTTAACAATGTTTATAGTTTATTAGTAACTGCCTTAGTTGTTCTCCATGTTTCCTCTCCATTGAACAGTACTGATTGAACATTATAATTAATAGGTTTATTAACTGTATTTTCTTTTTACTTCCACAAATTTCCTGGTGCTATATAAAATTCTTTGGCCTTTTGAATTCATGTTTTAACATATCTCCCAGTTCCCCTGTATTTATCTACATTATTATCTGACTTAATTGATAAACAGAAGATAAAATGGTTTGGTCATCTAGTAAGAATGCAGCCAGAACAACTACCAACGCAGGCGCTACACATTAACAATGACGAAGTGAAAGCAAGAGGTCGCCCTAGTAGCTATGGAATGACGGCATTAAAGAGCTTCTACCTCGATACGGAATAACAACAGCTATTGCTGCCCATAAAGCAATGGATCGCAAACTGTTCCTCCCCAATCGGCCCTGGGTGGTTGATGTGGTCAATATCACGCCGACCGCGTTTACTTCCCAGGACTTTACCTGGTAGCCATTTCAGGCACGGTCGACCTCGGAGCCAAGATCATTTTCTTTTTGAAGAAACAAACAAAAGAATCTGTAAAGATCTGCACTCCTGACCTGCTAACCCACAGGCGAGAATCTAGCCGCTACACGACAGCGGCTCCAGGGTATATAGTGCTAGAACTATACTATCTATTTTGTGTAGACCAATCGACACTTAGAAAGGGATGTTTGAAATGTGTAGGCAAAAGGCGGGAAGAGAACGTGAGTCTTATGTATAACGTGTATTATTATAACGCAGTAATAAACAAATAAATGCTTTTGTATCAGTTCACGTATGTTTGCTTGTCTTGATAGATGTGCGTTTTTCTATTGACCGATGTTTGCTTCTGTTGATAGATGTACGTAATTCTGTTGACCGATGTTTGCTTCTGTTGATAGATATGCGTAATTATGTTGACGGATGTTTGCTTCTGTTGATAGATGTGCGTTATTCTATTGACCGATGTTTGCTTCTGTTGATTTATGTACGTAATTCTGTTGATGGATGTTTGCTTCTGTTGAAAGATGTGCGTTATTCTATTGACCGATGTTTGCTTCTGTTGATAAGTGTGCGTTATTCTATTGACCGATGTTTGCTTCTGTTGATAGATGTGCGTTATTCTATTGACCGATGTTGGCTTCTGTTGATAGATGTGCGTTATTCTATTGACCGATGTTGGCTTCTGTTGATAGATGTGCGTTATTCTATTGACCGATGTTTGCTTCTGTTGATAGATGTGCGTTATTCTATTGACCGATGTTTGCTTCTGTTGATATATGTACGTAATTCTGTTGAAGGATGTTTGCTTCTGTTGATAGATGTGCGTTATTCTATTGACCGATGTTTGCTTCTGTTGATAAGTGTGCGTTATTCTATTGACTGATGTTTGCTTCTGTTGATAGATGTGCGTTATTCTATTGACCGATGTTTGCTTCTGTTGATAGATGTGCGTTATTCTATTGACCGATGTTGGCTTCTGTTGATAGATGTGCGTTATTCTATTGACCGATGTTTGCTTCTGTTGATAGATGTGCGTTATTCTATTGACCGATGTTTGCTTCTGTTGATATATGTGCGTAATTCTGTTGAAGGATGTTTGCTTCTGTTGATAGATGTGCGTTATTCTATTGACCGATGTTTGCTTCTGTTGATAAGTGTGCGTTATTCTATTGACTGATGTTTGCTTCTGTTGATAGATGTGCGTTATTCTATTGACCGATGTTTGCTTCTGTTGATAGATGTGCGTTATTCTATTGACCGATGTTTGCTTCTGTTGATAAATGTGCGTTATTTTATTGACCGATGTTTGCTTCTGTTGATAGATGTGCGTTATTCTGTTGACCGATGTTTGCTTCTGTTGATATGTGTGCGTAATTCTTCTGACGGATGTTTGCATCTGTTGATAGATGTGCGTAATTCTTTTGATGGATGTTTGCTTCTGTTGATAGATGTGCGTAATTCTGTCGATGGATGTTTGCTTCTGTTGATAGATATGCGTAATTCTGTTGACGGATGTTTGCTTCCGTTAATATATTGCGTAATTTTGTTGACGGGTGTTTGCTTCTGTTGATAGATGTGCGTAATTCTGTCGATGGATGTTTGCTTCTATTGATAGATGTGCATAATTCTTTTAATTGATATTTGCATCCGCTGATTGATGTTTGTATCTGTTGTTGAATGTTTACCTCTACTGATGTATGTATACCTCTACTGAAGGATGTTTGCATCTCTCAATGATGTTTGCATCTACTAATTCATGTTAGCATGGATATTTGCATCCATTGCTGAATGTTTGCCTCTATTGCTGAATGTTTGCTGCGTCTATTGCTAAATGTTGTCTTCTATTGGTGTATATTTGCTTCTGCTGACGGACGTTGGCATCTACCGATGGATGTTTGCATGCATTGCTGAATGTTTGCTTCTATTGATGTATGTTTACATATATTAATGGATGTTTGCATTTACTGCTGGACGTTTACATATACAGATGATGATGTCAACATCCCGCAAGCCACCTTTACTGTTCCTAGACTTAACCTGGTTCCCACTCAAGGCTGGATCGACCTGAGAGCTAAGGTGATCGGCAACTGAGTCGTTCATTAGCTCACCGGTAGACGACTTCGTCGCCGGTAGGGAAAGTTTTTGGGTCTGTCTCCTTTGATGGCATCAACGCTGCAAGATTCTTTTTCAGGGCTCTTGGTGGCGTGTGATGCTAAACCATTTTATATGGTGCACAAAGCCTGGTAAGATAAGACTCCCCATTTAAGACCTTATATGGACACCGGAAGGGACAAGAAAACGACGAAGATCAAGACAGACCCTGCGTAAAACCACAGCTAGCTCCAGATAAGGCAGTACAGCTCAACGGGAAATCCCGTTTTTGTGGGACTGGCCGTGGCCAGTCGGTGCTCGTCATTGTTAACGAATAGATCTATACACAAATTGAACTACAGTTTAATTAATTTGCAACGTGTGTTATTGAATGAATTATCATTTTGACGATAAATAAATGGTTATCAGAACAAAAGTAATAATAATAATAGTAATAATTGCCCAATTAATTGCATATTAATTAAACTATTGTTTAATTTACGTATGTCTACTCGGTTGCTATGGTTAGCATCGATCGGCCACAGTCGGCCTCTCAAAAATGGGAATTCCCGTTGAGCTGTAGGGCCTTATCTGGAGCCGGTTGTGCGTAGAACCATCATCAGAAAAAGCTCAACCATGGACCTAATGAAATCCAAGACCTAAAACAGGCAGCAATGAACCGCCAGACATGGAAAGCTATGACCTCTGCCCTATGCGCCGCTCAGTCTCCAAAGAAAAGACTAACTAGCATAACCTAGTCACAATTATAAACTAAAGC